AGAGGTTTTTTGTCCAGGAAGGAAAAACATGAAGTCGGTACACATGGAGTATCATGTAAGCATCTCTGAGTGTAAGTAAAATCTTTCCTAAACTTCTTAAGGAATTTTCTGTAGTTTTTGAGAAGTCAGACCTAGAAAAACTTTAAAAAATTATCAGTATAAAGCAAGCAAAAGCATCTTTGCTGAACACATAGCTCTGGTGAACAGACAGCTCTCAGCAATAGCCTGGGTTCAGCTCTTCTCACTGGAGCACCTCTGGGAACCCAAGGAAAATGTTCAAGAAGATTCCACCAGTCACTATCCACAAACCACAGTCCTCATCAGAGGAACTCCACATGCTCAAGGGATGTGTGCAGATCTCCCAGGGACCCTATTAGTGCCTGGGAGTCCAGGATTTTAAGCTGAAAGAAAGGAGGGTTACAGGGGGATGAGTAAAGGGTATGAAAAAGCAAGGGTAAGTTCCACTACCACAGCAGCCTCATGCTCACCAGCATAAGCATGCTTCATTTAGGATCCTGTGCGGCAGCATCAGGATCCCTTGGCCAGGGCTGACCATCTAACAAGTAATGGCTACTATGGCCCGCAGCTGGTATCTGGGCACCTCATATAAACAGAACAACTACTTACTCTCTCAGTAGGGTCTTCACCTGCTACATAAATCAGCTCTTTATTCTGCTTCAAGATTTCTGAGCCAAAGGTGACAAAAGGCTGCCAGGTCAGTAAAGAGACAGCAACACCAATGCACTGTTCCTCTGCCCTCCCCTAGCTCTGCTCCTGCAGCAAGTGTCTGACCCTCATGTCAGGAGAAAGCACACCAAGGGTGTTGTGACACAGTTGGTAATTAGACCCTGACTCAGCTTCACAGCCAATTTACTACATACAATTACTGTGACTGTTCAAGGAGGCATTGACATTTCTGTACAGAACAGAACTCTCTAATACAGGTCTTTTGCTGGTCACAACCACCACCACACAGTTCACTTCTAAGGTTTACCACTTTCTAGCATCCCAAATCTACCCAAGGATCATGTATAGTTTTCTAGAGCTCTGCTTCCATGAGCTCTGTATTCTGCTAGGTCGCTGTTCTTACAAAAAATCATCAGTCATTGATGCCATTGTGAAGTTAGTCACACACTTGATTTAAAAAGACATACGAGAATGGAAAGTGTGGGAGCAGAAATTTCAATGGGAAAGAAGCACAATCCCAACTTTTCTTGCACTGCTGGTATAAAAATCATAACCAAACCCAGCAGTTTTGTAAACCCTTCGAGACTCCTGCCATAGCCTGCCATACAGAATGGAATGCAAAACCCCTGTGGGAGAGGCCTTTATTTCCTCCTAAAGCTATTCATCCTCAAGCAGCCTTTGATTTACCAGTTCATGACTAACCTTCTCTAACAGTCATCTAGTTTGTTTACTATTAGCTGCTGTTACAACCAACTCCTATTCCCTGAACTGCTAAAACTAGCATTGAAAAAGGCTGGAAAACCTTGAATAAGAATTACATAATACTTCATGTAAACCACAGGATGTACACCTGCTTACAAAGCATCAAGACCAGAGTGCTGATATCTGCAAAACTGCCCTCCATAAGCAAGCATGGGAAGTAATGCAAAGAAAAACAGGTTGTTTACCTCAACAACGTGCAAACCCAGAAAGATACTGGCTATTGTTTTGTTTTTCAAATGCAAAAGCAGCAAACAAATTTTTGTTTCTTGTTTAGATACAACTAGGTTTTGAAGCACTAAACTCACTACTAACCCTAGCTGCCCTTGTTCAGTAGTTGCCTTCCCAACCTAAACCCCGTTCAAGGCAGTATTCCTGTGCATTAAAAACAAGCTTACAGTAACATGCAAAGTCCCTCAGAAATGGATGACTCTGATGACAACAGCTCCAAGACAAAGCATTTTTTGCCCATGTACATTCAGAGGTCCAGCAGACCAAGAAGCCCTGTGCACTCTCCATTCAACAGGTGTTCAAGTCTCGTGCTGCAGGAACCCACCCCAATATTGCAGTCTCACCAGATCCATAGCATTCCCATAATAAGGCTCAGAAGGAGCCATTAGATCACAGAGATTAAGACCATTCCTGCACAGACAGGAAAAGCAACTTCAGACCTTTTGGCTGGAAGAGTTAGATGATCCCTCCCTGGCTTAAGACATCATTATCCAAGATCCCTTCCTCCATGTGTCTCATCCTCCTGACAGTCTGCAGCTCAAACCCCTCACATTTCCAGTTGCATTCTATTTGCATTTACAGCTATTCAACACATTAAGCTATTCCTCTCCATCTTCACTCCTCTGGGTGTTTAGATTATCTTTGCTAAAGAAGAGATTCATCTGGCATCTCAAATGGGGATATTTTCACTTTACTGGAGACAAACTGTTTTTCTCCAGTCACTGTTTGCTCCAGATCTCCTCTGCAGCTTATAGGGGCTACAGCTAGGCCTAGGATGTGTTTCACTGAAAATACTACTCAGCTAAACTGCACCTTTTACTCGCGCCTGCTAACGGCTGAATGGAGATTAGAGAAGACTAGCAGTTCGTTCTTCCTTTAGCCAGCCACCTGCAACTACAGACCCACACTAACTTGTAACTGCATTGTGTATGTGTACATTATACACAGTGTACACCTGGGAGGAAATCTCTCCTCCTTAAGCCTCTTGGGCAATAAGACACCAATACAAATAAGAGGTATAGAAGAGGCAAAAATAAAGTCAGGATCAGGCTGATAATTATTAGAAACTTAACACCTTACAAAGTGAATCCATGGATCTTTAAATATTGCCCCCACATACCAGCAGTTGCTCTGATTTTTTCGCACACCTAGCTGGAGGAAATGGAGTGAGAGGAAATGGCAAACGGTTTATGCAAAAATGCAGTTACAGCAAGGTGTCCTTAAGGAATTCCATAATTAAAAATAGCATGCAAATACAGATGAGCGACCAGCCTTCTTAAACACACCTACTACAGCAGCTGGATTTAAAAATAATGATCAAGCTTTTCTCCAAGGAAATTAAATAAATTGCAAGTTTCAGGAATGTTTTTCTGCTCGCCATCAGCTGACTTTTTGGGAAAAAAAAACCCAAACAAACCAACCAAGCATTGCTAGCATTAAAACAAAACAAAAACCCCACCAACATTAATTCAAAGAGAAGGAGGAAGAAAATAGAATACAAGAAGAATATCCAAAAGGTGAGCACCTCCTTCACTCCAACTGACAAGCATAGTTACATATTTCAGCCCAAAATTTTGAAGGTGGTGTAGGGGAACAGGGATAAGCTTTACTGCGCTTACTTCTCTACCAGTTTATCATTCTTTCTTGTGTTTTTGCATATAGAATTACAACTGACTTGTCAGAACAACCCTCTAATTGTAGCTACCGCAAACCTCAAGTTTAGTGAGGAGCACTGGTAAGGACTGACCCATGCAACCCAGCTGAATGACCCCACTGGCCTGAATCTCCAACCGTCTGCTCAAAGTTCATGTGAAACAGTGAGCTTCATTACCCTTTACCTCAACAGGTTGCTACAAAGGCCTGTGCAAAGGAAAAAGATTCAGCTAAAAATGGTAGCAGCTGATCAGGTTTTTCAAACTACAATAAAAACCTGAAGACTGAAAATATTCACAAAAATGTGTGCCCCACACAGTTCCTCTAAGCATATACTAAGGACTGAGAATGGGCTCACCAACCACTGGAGTGTTTGGGAACCCTATCATGTTTTTATAGCAAAAAGCACATCCTAGTTCAAACCAGAAGTCAGTTCTGGGAAGTCTTACTGTCTCTGTTACATATCATATTATACCAGGAAATCACAAATGTACCATCTTGCTCGAAAAACAATTTGGTAACAAGAGCCTAAGCAGTATGTCTTTGGGGATGGAAGTAATACATGGTAACTCTGTACTTCACAGTTAAATAAGTATTCATAGAAATCACTTAAAACAACAATGCAAGTGAAGCCAAGAGCCTTCAGTTTTTTGCTTGATATTACAATCATGGTACCTCTTCCAGTTATCATTGGAAGCTGACAGCAGCTCACTATAAATTCTTGCCCAGTTTCCTTTATCAGACCTCTCTCTCATACACACGGGGAAACAAAAGTCAAAATAATACTGTCAAATGACAAACAAATCACAGAAAACTAATTCCAAATCCTTGAGAATATGCTGAAGATAAACAAGTCTTCTTGTTACACTGTAATCTCAAAATTAAATAGTATCTATAGCCTTGTTATTTCCATCCCTTAGAAAACATCTGACAAGCTTTGAACATAATAAAAACAACCCCATATTCTGAAGTTCAAAAATAAGCCATTAAAATTACAATTTTGGGAAGCAACTGAGCAAGAATTCTCACTGATTTATTGCAGATCTCTACTTCTATCAAGTTAAAGGAATGTTTGCCTTCAGTGTTTCTGGTTTCAACTATCCTGTCTTACAAGTCAGCAGCTCAGATCTGCAGAGATAAAATCCCAAAAGTCCCGCAGGTGCCTCAAGCTGTGAATGACAATTTTGACTCTTAGATACTCACACACATACACACACATAAACCCAAACACTTGAAATCTACAGATACTCTTACCTGTATTTCTTACACCACTTACCAGTAATTCACATACTGGCAAGAGACGTGTTTTAAGACATCTTACTGTTGAAATATGCTGCCATGGAAAAACGTTGGTTGCCCCTTCAGAAATACCTTCTTAAAATAACTACACCTATTGCAACCACACTGAGTTAATTCTAAGACAATGTGCAGATGTCAACATCAAGACTTCAACTAAGCAACTTTTGTTATGTAGTGAGGTACACTGTGAAGAATGCAATGAGGAAAAATAATATCCAAGTGACCCAGAAACCCTGGGAATGCTTTTAAGTTCTTCACAGGGAGGCATCAGCCCACCTCAAAAATCTGATGCCAACTTTTGCAATTTAAAGAATCCTTATTTCAGCAGCCTTAAGCCATTCCTTTCTACACAGTGTTAATTTCATACTCACGTAAAAAATGTTTTTCCAATAAGGCTATTTCCAGGTGACCTTTGATCTCATTCAGTCTGTCAGACTCCGTTCTGCTAAAATCTTGGACTCCTGAAGCCATGATGATGGTCCCTGGACCAGCCTATAAGAAAGCCAGAACACACAGTTCAGAGGTACATTGTTTCATCATTTAAATACAACATCTTACTTCTGGGGCAGAAAAGAAATAGGCACATGAGAAGCGTGCAAGCGTCAACTTTTCAGGCCTCTTCTTCAGCATTAAACCACCTAAATAAATGAGTGAAAGCTAATCAAATGCACAGCATCCCTCCCATGTGAGTTTACAGAATGCACCTCTGCAGGCCTCAGGGAGTTATAAAAAAGGCATTTTCCCCCCTTTACCAGTTCTGCTGCATCATCGTTTAGCTTTTCTTCTGCTGATTTAAAAGGCATATTTATACTACCACTCTCTCCTCTTCCCATTAAATGAATGGTCAACGCAACATACTCTACACATAATATTGTAAAGCTAGCAAAGTAATACTTTCCTAGATATTTACAGAGCTATTAGAAACTCCATACTGTACATTTTAAAACCCATTTATGGAATTTCTAATTCTGAACACCACAGTCTCTCTGCAAAGAATGGGTCCCCCTACTCCCCCACCTCCAGCACAGCCCAGTTACTCCTGAAGGATGTCACTGGTGCCCAAAAGCTGATCCTAACAGGCCAGGAGTAAGAGGAGTCGGGAAAGTATGGACAGATTTACCAACACTCCTTGAATGAACTCAGCACTGGAAATACTGCAGAATGCAGAAATTGAAGAGCAATTTGATTTGTTAGGAAGAGCAGTGACAAGCACTACCTTCACGAAGTGAGCAGAGAAAAAAAAACAATCCCACATGGCAGAAGGCATAAAGTGGGTAAACAAACAAGAGGAATTAGAGATGTGTGCACGTCTACAGGGGTATGATATAATAGGCATCACAGAAACATGGTGGGATGGCTCCTATGACTGGAGTGTTGGAATGGAAGGTTACAGGCTCTTTAGAAAAGACAGGCCTGGCAGGCGGGGAAGGGGAATTGCCCTTTATGCTAGGGATAGGTTGGAGAGTATGGAACTCTGTCTGGGGACAGGTGAGCAGTCAGAGAGTTTGTGGGTCAGGGTTAAAGGAAACATAGCTATGGGAGACATCACTGTGGGGATCTGTTACAGACCGCCTGATCAAAGAGAACCTGTGGATGAAGCACTCCATAGACAGATAGGAAAAGCCTCACGCTCACAGGCCCTTGTTCTCATGGGTGACTTCAACCACCCTGACATCTGTTGGAAGGACGGTACGGCCTGGCACAAGCAATCCAGGAGGTTCCTCGATTGTGTAGAAGACAACTTCCTTCTGCAAGTAATAGAGGAGCCGACAAGGAGAGGTGCCGTGCTTGACCTCGTGCTCACCAACAGGGAAGGGCTCATTGGAAATGTGATGCTCCAGGGCAGCCTTGGATGCAGCAATCATGAGATGCTGGAATTTGAGATCCTCAGGACAGTGAGAAGAGCGTGCAGCAAGCTCACTGCCCTGGACTTCAAAAGAGCAGACTTTGGCCTCTTCAGGAAACTGCTTTGGAAGGTTCCATGGGATACAGCCCTAGAGGGCAGAGGGGCCCAAGACTCTTGGTTGATATTCAAGGATCACCTGCTACAAGCTCAGGAGTGTTGCATCCCAACCAGAAGGAAGTGCAGCAGGAGGGCCAGGAGACCTCCTTGGATGGATAAGGAGCTCCTGAGGAAAATTCAGATGAAAAAAGAGGCTTATAAAAGGTGGAAGCAAGGACAGGTGGCATGGGAAGAGTACAGGGATGTTGTCCGGGAAGGTAGGGACCAGGTTAGGAAAGCCAAGGCCCACTTACAATTAAACTTGTCTAGGGATGTTAAGGATAACAGGAAGGGATTCTACAAGTACATAGCAAATAAAAAAACAGACTAGGGAGAATGTAGGTCCCCTCAGGAAGCTCTCGGGAGAACTGGCTACACAGGATTTGGAGAAGGCTGAGGTTCTGAATGACTTCTTTTCCTCGGTCTTCACTGGCAAAGGCTCTGACCACACTACCCAAGTCTTGGAAGGCAGATGCAGGGACTGTGAGAATGAAGACCTTGTGCCCACTGTAGGAGAGGAACTGGTTTGAGATCATCTTAAAAATCTGAACACGCACAAGTCCATGGGTCCTGATGAAATCCATCCGCGGGTCCTGAAGGAGCTGGCAAATGAAGTTGTGAAGCCGCTGTCCATCATATTTGAGAAATCATGGCAGTCAGGTGAAGTTCCCAATGACTGGAAAAAGGGAAATATAGCCCCCATTTTCAAGAAGGGGAAAATGGATGACCCAGGGAATTACAGACCAGTCAGTCTCACCTCTGTGCCTGGCAAAATCTTGGAGCAGATTCTCGTGGCAGGCATGCTAAGGCACATGAAAATCAACAAGGTGCTTGGTGACAGCCAGCATGGCTTCACTAAGGGGAAATCCTGCCTCACCAATTTGGTGGCCTTCTATGATGGGGCTACAGAACTGATGGACAGGGGTAGAGCAGTTGATGTCATCTACCTGGACTTGTGCAAAGTGTTCGACGCTGTCCCACACAACATCCTTGTCTCTAAACTGGAGCGACATCAATTTGATGGATGGACCACTCGGTGGATAAAGAACTGGCTGGATGGCCACACGCAAAGAGTTGTGGTCAATGGCTCAATGTCCAGCTGGAGACCAGTAGTGGTGAACCTCAGGGATCGGTGTTGGGATCGGTCTCGTTTAACATCTTTGTTGCTGACATGGACAGTGGGATTGAGTGCACCCTCAGCAAGTCTGCCGATGACACCAAGATGTGTGGTTCGGTTGATACCCTGGAGGGAAGGAATGCCATCCAGAGGGACCTTGACACACTTGTGAGGTGGGCTGATGCCAACCTTATGAAGTTTAACCATGCCAAGTGCAAGGTCCTGCACCTGGGTGGGAGCAATCCCAGGCACAGCCACAGGTTGGGCAGAGAAGAGATTCAGAGCAGCCCTGAGGAGAAGGACTTGGGGGTGTTGGTGGATGAGAAAATGAACATGGGGTGGCAGTGTGCGCTTGCAGCCCAGAAAGCCAACCGTATCCTGGGCTGCATCAAGAGGAGCGTGACCAGCAGGTTGAAAGAGGTGACCCTGCCCCTCTACTCTGCTCTTGTGAGACCTCACTTGGAGTATTGTGTGCAGTTCTGGTGTCCTCAACATAAAAAGGACATGGAACTGTTGGAACAAGTCCAGAGGAGGGCCACGAGGATGATCAGGGGACTGGAGCACCTCCCATATGAAGATAGGCTGAGAAAGTTGGGGCTGTTCAGCCTGGAGAAGAGAAGGCTGCATGGAGACCTCATAGCAGCCTTCCAGTATCTGAAGGGGGCCTATAGGGATGCTGGAGAGGGACTCTTCATTAGAGACTGTAGTGATAGGACCAGGCTGGACGAAGCCTTGGGGTGATATGATTTAGCATAAGGTCTCCCTGCCCATGGCAGGGGGGTTGGAACTAGATGATCCTAAGGTCCTTTCCAACCCTAATTATTCTATGATTCTATGATTTTCAGACAGCAGGGGAAATGGTGGGTGAAGGCATCTCCTGGGTAATGGTTGTTCAGGTTGCATGCAGTCCCCACCAGGTATAAAAGTCTGCCAACATGAATTACAGGAGGTTCTCCAGCACCTTATACTGAAAATCAAAGTGCTAGATTACAGAAATTATCTCAAGACAAAAAGGGATTTATTTACTATTCCCCCATCCCCTGTTTGAGCCCTGGAAGCATACAGGAACTATATTGCTTTCAAAAGTCAGCTTGCATACATTCAACCACAACAGCTTAAATTACACACATACATAAACTCAACTAATCTACAAGACAATTAAGAGACACTTCCTACATTTTAAAAAAGAGGTGCAAAAAGCTCACTGAAAGCAACGTTGGGAAGTACTTTCACTGCTGGGAATGATTTGTACTTTTAAGGTAAACCAGTGTGGAAATACCTACTAAACATCTGTTTTCTTGCTCGAGCTGAACAGATGCTGAGTTTAAGCCTCAGAATTTGTCTACCCAGGCAAGTTAGCACTGCAGACAAGTACTGCACAGCATTTACCTGGCATCAACTCCCCACCTAGGCTTGCTCAATACAGTGCCAAGAAGAGATGCTATTTCTAGTCCCAAAAAGCAACACACACCCACACAGCACTCTGCCAACACTGCTGGCCCCAATGAGTAGCAGAAGCTGTTAGCTTAGCAGCAATCCTGATTCCCACTTTGGAGCTGGCACAAACCATGCCATAGCAGAAACAAACAGCTCACACAGGGAGCTGTAGCATCCTCCTTCCCATGCTCCAGATTTCCTGTTCACACCTGCCTATAGCCAGCCAGAGAGGTGCAGTAACACACGCCACTTGCAACCACTCCAGCTACTGCTGACGAGTAACTGTACCTGCCTGTTTTCAGATGAGCATGGGACTGCAATTAACCTCTGTGTTGATTTCTTATCTATAGAGTTGGGTCATGTTTATTTACGCTGCAAGATTTAGTGTTACCACTTGCCAGACACTTGGAAAGCACAAGGGGGATGGTGTGGCCAAAGTCAAACAGCAGCACCCTTATAGCACACTCTTACCAGCAGGCACAAGGGAAGTGTTATTGAAATATAGGTTGCTGCAAAGACATTAAAGCATGGCTTTCTATACTGTATATCCATACCTGGTACAAAGGGACAATCTTTGCTTCCTGCATAAAGTATTTCGTAAGGAGCTGTCCAAAGAAACAGTGCTACAGCTTAAAAATAAATAAATCAATCAGTAAAATCACATACAGGTCAAAGAGTAAGCTGCTACACTCATCAGGAATGCGCTTGGGCTCTGCACATCAGGATGGTGCTTAGAGAGCTCCTGGCTCCTGCCCAACCAGTCCCTGGTCTCCAACCCCAGGCACTGCAGAGGTGGCAGCAGCACAGAGGTGAAGGAACAGACGATGAGAGGGGCTAGCAAACATCTAAGTATATACAAGTTTTTACCCTCATTGAAGATGCTCGAGATATTTAACCCAGAGATAAGTTACGGTTCAGAAACCCATCTAAAGAACC